AATCGGTTTTCTATCATATAAAATCGCCTATTCCAACCTATTTAGATTTAAAAAAAGTATTTATGGTTTCAAGTATATGTGTAATTATTACAGATATTATTGTAGCTAATTTTAGTCTTCAATTTTGTGTCTTGATATTTTGCTAATACAAACAGCGACATAGATTTTTTTAATACCTATAAGAAAACAGAAAATCCATGAAATTAAAGTCGTTAAAATTCTTCTGGTGAGTTTTTTAAAAACGTATTTAAATTAGTCGCCAGATGGCAATCACTTCGCTTTGTTTACGAAATAAAAATCAAGAATAAACTTCAAATTAACAAAAAATAGAAAATTCAACAGAAATTTCTTATTTAAAGGAAAACTATTCTCATTAAAATGTTTTCTTTTAATAATATAAGTGAAAATTCATTATTGCCGACTCCAAATGTCTCAGTGAACATCGAAGATATTTTTTCAGATTTCACTGAAGGAAATCTTCTGAGGAAGTGTCGATTATGCTTTAATTCTGTAGAATCAGAATATAATCAAACAAAAATTACTGAGCATTATAAATATTTGATAAGCAATATGTTAGAAATTCAGGTGAATATTCTAGTGGTTAAAATTAAAATTATTCAATATTTTCTTCCATTTACAGTTCATTTCAACATCAAGAACTTCTGATTTTCTTTGCCAAAGTTGTGTCTTCAATGTCCGAAATTTGTATCGATTCAAAATGGAAATGAAAGATAGACAGCTTTGCCTGAGGAACTTTTTAATTTCCATTAACGATTTAACTAAATCTATTGAATCAAATTCTACAAATGATTCCAACACCTTTTTCATTAAAACTGAACCAGAAGAAACTCCTTCAGTGCTTTCACCACCAACTGTGGAACTATTTTCTGAATCTCTCTTGAATGATCATCCGTATGAAACAGAATTCAAAACCGAATCTCCGTCTGACGACACGACAGAAAATGAGATTAATTCTGCCTCAGATAGAAGGTAAGAATAATTGTAATAATTTGAAGAAAATCTAATTTATTTAAATATCTTTATTTAGACAATCTATTGAACTATCGAAAATATTTCCTTACAATGAAAGATATCAGAGAATCATTAAGGCATATTTAAGTAATTCTCATCTCCCTAAAACAAAGATTGCAAAGCTTGTTGGAGTTCCACACTCAACTGTTCGCAGTGTGATTCGTAGATATGAATCAATAGAGAGTCAGATGAATTCTGCTTTTGACAATGAGTAATAATTATTTATTTTTACCCTTATTAATAGAATTTAAATTAAAAATCTCTTTTTTGTTATTACATATATAATTTTACGTAGACAAAGTCGTGGTCCATTGGAAATGTTTCGTCACAATATAAACCGCCAAAGAATCGTTGATTTGCACCTGAAAAATCCCAAACTTTCTCTCAGGCAGATTGGAAAGCTTGTTGGAGTATCACACTCACATATTGCCCGTGTGATTCGTAAATTTAAATCAGTGGCTTCAAATAGTGAAGAAACAGGCGAAAATTGTGAATATTCCGATTCTCAAATATATGAAAAACTTTCAAAAGGCGAACAGTGTTACTTTTTTGATACAAAATTAACCCAAGATAAAAAGAAATCCGAAATGTACAATTTAAAAGAGCTCGAAATCAAAAGCTTTAAATGCGATGACTGTGATAGGACATTTCGCACCAAAAATCAAGTCAAAAGACATTCCCTTGTTTACCATACCAAACCTAAATCTGATTCTTCTGATGCTATGCACAAACGTGAAAAAGTTCACATGTCGGAGAATGAGATGAATTCGACCTCTGACAACAAGTAAGAATTTTCCATTTTACTCCTTTTTAGTAACAAATCTAAATCATAAAATCTAATTTTTGTTTATTGTTTATTCAGAAAAATGGTTGATCCATCGAAAATATTCCCTGGCAGTGCAAGTCATCAGAGAATTGTTGATGTGTACTTAAAAAATCCTCACCTTTTTGCTCGAGATATTGCAAAGCTTATAGGAGTTTCACGAACAACTGTTTTTCGTGTGATTCGCAAATATAAATCAATCACATCAAATAATGAGCACACAGACGAGAGTTCTCAATATTATGCTTGTGAAATCTGTGGAAAACTTTTAAAAGGCAAACACAGTTACAATAATCATATAAAATTAATTCATGAAAAAAAGAGGACTCATCAGTGTGACATTTGTGGACGAAGATGTATAAACAAAACTAATGTAAGATTTCATATGCAAGTTCACATCCCAAAAGAATTTAGAATCAAAAACTTTCAGTGTGATCACTGCGTTAAATCTTATGATACGAGAGATAAGATCATAAATCACCTGTTTGCTCGTCATATGAAATTCAAACTTCATTCTTGTAATTTATGTGAAAAGTCTTTTTATTCTAAAAAGTTTTTGAAACTACATCATGTTTCACATAACAAAAGAAATATTCAATGTGATTATCCAGACTGTGAAAAAATGTTCAAAGATAATAAATCAATGATTACACATAAAAAAGTTCACATTAAGGAGTTACATGTGGAATGTCCTTACGAGGATTGCAACAAATCTTATGCAAAAAAGAAGAATTTGGATTTGCATATTTTCATCACCCACAAAAAAATCAAAGAAAATTGTCCAGTTGGAAACGGATGCAAATTTTCGGTCGGACGAAGAGATTACATGAGAGCACATCTGAAGAAACATTCTGAACTTTCTGAAGGAGAACTGGAAAAATATTTCAAGCAATTGTCAACTATGAATCTTTTCCAGAAACAAAATTAATAAGTTAATCGTACATAATATAAATTTGATAGAATAAACATAGTATGTTGAATGAAATATTCTCCAACTCGAGACATTTA